AAAAGAACTTTCAAAACTTGCCAATATTTTCAGGACTCTTTTCTTAGTCCTCTCTTCTTTCTTTTATAGTTTTCCAAGAGGTGTCTTGGGATCTCTTCAAAATGTGTCTTGATTCGATGTATTTGTCCAAGAGACGCATCCTTTCAAGTTAATTTTCGTCCATTGTGGTTACAATCACCTATTAAGCCAATGGGTGCCTCAAAAATCTCTTCGAAATTCGTGAAAACTGATTTTACTTGTCTAGTAACTACCATTGACGCTTATACGCGGCCTTCTCTATTTTAACTGACGCTTAAGCACCGGATCTAGCACTTAGGCGCCAAAACTCTTTTGCACAATTTTTCACATTTTTGCTCCAAATTTGATCTTTTTTCACTCCTTTAAGCATTTTTTTCCATTTTTACTTATATCTGCAAGAAAAATACAAAAATACCTTCCATTAAAGCGTAATATCTCAAAAATAGGTATAAAAATGTATCTAAAAGCACTATATATTTTAGGTGTATCACTAGGATATCGTAGAAATGGAAACACTAGAAGCAAGAGAGATGTTATGAAATTGTGATACCGACGAACTCGGAGCAGCGGTGTCCAGTTGGGATTTCAAAGAAAGAGACGTACTGTCAGCCTATCTGAAGAAAGTGCAGTTCTCTTGTCTTTGTTTCCACCACGGGCACCTGTAAAATTGCCTCTCGTAGCTATGTGACTGGCATGATGTGAGTAGCAAGGTCGGAAGCCCGCATCGACACATCACTTGCCCGGACTTCCCTGAATATCTGGAACTCATTGTTCTGCAGTTAATAAAAAGAGAATAAATTAGTAAAAAAATTAATGAATATGCTCAAAATATACTTACCCAAGTATGAAGAAGCCAACCAATTTCAAGAGTATGAATTTGTGTGCTTAGAGGGCATTGACTTTACAAAGTCTATGATCACAAATCATCTCACCATGCGCAGGCCTTGAAGAACTTGCTTTGAACATGGAGATGAAGATGATGTTAACATCATGAGCCTAATATTGAAATTCTTGAACCCGCTTCACACAATTTGCATGTGAGAGAGATTACTGACATGTTTGGATTTACAGGATTATCAGAATATCCGCAAAACAAAGTTTGTGACAATAGAAAATCAAATCTTCATTATTTTTCCCATATTTTCCTTTTGTGATGATTGAGCCTTTAAGTCATCAAGGACCTTGACACATAATAGTACATTGTATAACTTCATGGCTTGGAAGCATAAGAATTAAAGCATTCTCAGCAAGTTGTGACCAATATTTATTAAATAAACTAAAACCAAAACATTTATTAAGGAACTAAAACCACAAAATTTTCAAATAAACCAAGAACAAAGGTGACCAACCAATTAGAAGAAGATTGAGTAGTTAGAAGCGTAGATTTTCTCATTCCCTAAGTGGTATGGCCATATTTTGCAAATCCAATAGCATTCTCTAACTCAATCTGCAATGGTACCGCAACACCTTCTTCAACTCTTGTGACCACCTCCACGTTCACACTTCTATTATGATAGCTAGACTTGTGGGCATCACAAAATTGCAATAGCCTTTCTCATACCTCAAAACTTTCAGATTTCGAGGGATTTATGGCCTTCGGTCATAACTTGAGCAACAACTCCCTTGAACATAATATCCAATTTATCTTCCAATTTCGGCTCAATTCTCACAACATAAATTTTTTGCAATTGGGACTGCCTACAACAAGAAAGAGGGAGGGGTGTGAGCATATTAGACAAAATAGAAGTATAAAGGTTAATTAAATGAGGAGTTCGTAGAGATACAATTACTACCTCTAACTTCTCAGTCCACCATTCCTCTAAAGCATCCACGGTGCGCTTGACAGGATCCCAACCCAATCCCGTCGATCCCCGTTTAAGTTCCTTCCATAATATCCACTCCTTCTTTAGCTGATCCCACTTGTTCTTGAATTTCGATCTATCGTACTCCCGCCGTGTCATTTCTTTAAATTCTTTGGAAATATTCTACCACCCTTCTTTATTAAAGTAGATGGTAAGTTTATTTCCAAGTTCAATCTCCTTAATACATAGATTGCAGAAAACGTATGTCACATCCTTGTGCCACATTGTTGATGTAGCCCCTTATTTGTTTTTACTCATAATGCAACTAATGACACAAATAGATCAAATAGTGCAATAACATTGAAAGTAAAATAATGTATCAAGAGGAATAATGACAAATATAAAGATGAACACAAATATAAAGATGTAAACAAATCTTAAAAAGTTTACCATCATCTAACCATAAAGTTCAATCTTGCTCACTTAAAATTCATTTAAACTGTAATCTAACAAAAACTCAACGAGCCTTGGAAATTTATCTAAACTATCATCTAAAATATTACAAACTATATTCTAAACTTAAAATTCATCTGAACTATCATCTAAACAAATACAACGAGCCTAAGGAATTATCCTAAAGCTTCCAATAAGAATAACATATATAAGATCCTTAATAAAAAAATAATGTCCACATTTCAGATATATAAGGTCCTTAATAATAAAACGATGTCCACATTTCAAATATATAAGATCCTTAATAACATATATTATACTAAAACAAGGTGTAAAACTAGTTCAAATTTATGTTTAACATTTTAGGCATTTGCTTGCTTAAAAAATACCCTGCATAGTTCAAATTTCTGCGATTTATTTCTCAAGGGATTTCGTGCTTTCCAGGTCATGGAAAATGACTTTTGAGAGTCCTCTCAATGCATGCATTTCTTTTGCCCTAAATAATTTTTGATCCAATGAATGTTGTTTCTAACCAAAACCTATAACTCTTTATCTACATCAAAAACTTTGTGTCCACGGAAAAGTGTACAACAGAGCAGAAGAGCGGCAGAGGAGCGAGGAGGAAAAAAAAACAAATGTTACATGTGAGAAAAATTGACGGAGATGGAGGGAGACACGGATCGAAAATTGCCGGAGATGGAGGGATGGAGGGAGACACAGATTGATTACCGGAGATGGAGGGAGATGCGGATCCCTGTGCAGGATCAGAGAGGAGTCGATGTCGCTGCTTGTTGTGAAATTAGGGCAGAGGAGCGAGCGAGGGCAACTACAGTCTTTCAACACTATTAAACGCGGATCGCAGGCTCCTACCCACAATCCGCGTCCAGTGGTAAAATGAAAAAGGAGTTTTATAAAAAACTCCTAAAAAATGATATTCAAATAGAAGATGGCGTTTTGATAATGTCACCTCTACAAATAAGCTGTCCCAAAAGCAGCCTCAGCCACGAAAAATTATTCCATACGGATCGGATGTCCCGATGTATTTCGGTGGGCCCCACCTAATTTTTTTTATAAAACAAAATGAAAATAATCTTGATTGTAGATCACCTTACATGTCCGTACTCGTGATTGAACGTTCTACCGGTCACTCGCCTGCGCGCGGCCAGCTCGACCTCGCCTTCTTCTTCGACGACAAAGGCCCGGAAAACTGAGTGCGAAACCCTGCCGATTTCGGGACAAAATTGCATATCCGTATCGCATAAATCACCGTGCATTGGAAGCAAAAATAAAAATAATCTTGATTGTAGATCACCTTACATGTTGATTGAACGTTCTACCGGTCTACTCGCCTGCGCGCGGCCAGCTCGACCTCGCCTTCTTCTTCGACGACAAAGGCCCGGAAAACTGAGTGCGAAACCCTGCCGATTTCGGGACAAAATTGCATATCCGTATCGCATAAATCACCGTGCATTGGAAGCTCCCTTCGCCGGACCATGAACCGGGCGGAGGCGCAGGCTGCCCCGTCGAATGGCTGCGTCCAGAAGCGAACTGCGGCGACTCCTCCATCGAGCGACAGGAAGTACAAATCCATGGAGGAAATAATGAGGAAGGCGAAGCCCTCCTCTCCCGTCACCGAAGACTATTATTCCGATGTCCTTTGTCAGCAATGCCGGTTAGGCGAGGAGGAAGATAAGATCATCCTTTGCGATCGATGTGACATGGGATACCATCTTTATTGCCTCCGTCCGATCGTTCCAAGGGTTCCAACGGGGCACTGGTTTTGCCCTAGCTGCAAAAACGAAGAGACAGTTAGACGTATGTACATTCTAGGCGTGTTCTTTTAGATGTTGGTATTTGGCTTTAATGTTAGATTGCTAGGAGTTCTGATTTCTAGCTCTTGGGGCATCTCAGAATTCCCCCTCATGCAGAAGTCGATCGTCAATTTCTTTCGGATTCGTAAGTGTACAAATGAGCCGCCTAAGGAGAATTGTGGACCCTGGCATGGTGGTCAGTGTCAATTGTTATATATTCTTTTACTTTATCCAACTGTTCTTTTGGGCAGATAAGTAGAAATTTGATCATGCTGGGTTTTGTTTTAAATCGAGCTGAATTTACAAAATCTTGCAAATTCTAGAAGTAATTTCATTGTTAAATCATTAAAATAATTGGCATGATAACTATTAAATCTGCTGGTAAACTGTTTGCATGTTATGATTAGAATTTTGGATTTAATGGATATGAGATTTAACCAGTAACTTGATAGGATGATTGATATGTTGTTGTTAAGCTTTAACTGATAAAATATAGTAAAAAGACAACATGCGGATAAACAAAGTAATATAACTGATTCTATCTAGAAAATGGTCAATACAACGTTTAAGAATTATTATTTTAAAGAAGAATCAACGAATCACTTGATTAACAGTACAAGCAGACGTTAACAAATGAATTTAATATAATGATTAACATATAAAAGCATCGCTGACAAGACAATGAAACTGTTAGTAGAATCCAACATACATTTCCGAGTGCAAATTCTAAAAATTAAATTTCCAGAGAAGATAGTGTGCCAGGTAACTAAAAAAATAAAAAATTGAAGAGGAACAAAGAAATTTGATACTCTATGCCAATAACACTGAACATTATGCATCTTATTTTTTTCAAGTATGACATATGATACAAACTAAGAGGCGGCAGAACTTTCTCATGGGCGCCCCCACATGATGTACAAGGATCTACTTCCATTAACGTTTGAATTGCTTATTATAAGGAGTAATAAAGTCTCGGCAAAGAGAGCATAATATGGCATATCTATTTTAAATGATAACAGAGAATAATTATTTTATATGTAGAGTTAATAAATCTTAACATATGTGTAACATAATATTAAAGCTTGTAAGATGAGTAAGGCTTGATGAAAATAAAACTGAAAGATTAAGAGGCAATTTCTGCTGATGTAATGGCATGAGAAGCTGCATTCAAGTAGAACTATGTCATTGCAGCTTCTTTTTTTTTTTCTTGCACTCGATTCTCAATTTCCATCTATCATGATAATAAGGCTTGGTGAAATCAACCAAATTCTTTGAACGCCTGTTAGTGCGGTAAAGCTATTGTAACTTAAGATGTTTGAATCAGTGATTTGTATATTTTGACATCTTATTTTCATTGGAAACCCACTCATCTAAAGTCTTGCATGCTCGGGCCTTGTGTTTGGCCCAACCACTAGTCAACTCCTTTTAGCCAGAAATTCTAACATGTGAGACCTAATGCCTTCCTTTCTCGAGACATATCATTTTAGAACACTCAGCTCTTCATAGCACATCTATCCACTATAATGATTGAAAGGGTGTGCCATCGCATTGCTCACATCTATAAGCGCATGCCACACCAAACATTTAATAGATTCCACACTATTGAAGCAACTTGTTGAAACCAACTCTTTATATTTTTTTCTCTGATTTTAATCATTCCCTTTCGTGTTTAGGAGAGGTTTTAAACCCTATAATTTCTTATTATAATAGTGGAAATTTTCCCCCTTCACAAAATGGACATAACCTACAAAGATGAACCACTATAAACCCTTTTGCATCCTTATCTTAATGATGAAATCCTCTTCTATCAGTGTCTCCCCCATCTAGCCCCTCTCCTCTTGTGAATGAACATAGTTGCTGCAAAGAATTTAACGGATATAAGGGACCAAGGTTTGATAGGTGTGGAAGATGAAATTTTATTTTACTTGAGATGTTGAAAAGATGAAGATTAATTTTGCGAAGTGATTCCTAGAGATTAGGAAATATATTATAAGTAGAGTTACACTATAGAGAGACAAAGTTTGATGCTAAAGAAAAATGAGCCTGTTTCAAAACTTAGAACTACTGCAAATAATTATTTTTCGCTCTACAAAAATGTTAGCTTAAATCTTTATTTTTCTTTATATTATTTTTCTTGCATGATTGGCCATTAACAAATCCATGTGATGTATTTTCCAAATCATTTGAATATTTTTTATAAAGAGCATTATACGGCTCCCAATTTATTGCAAGAAAAAGAAATTACAAAAGTAGGCAAGGAACCAAGAACCTAAAACCCTAAACAACTCACCCAAAAAATGAAAAAGGTTCCTTCCCTGAAAAAAAGAAAACACAACTCACACACACAACACAAAAAGAAACAAGAAAGAGCAACAACAACCGAAACAAAAATTAAAGAAGATCCTTCGAAGACAGTGACAAAAGCTCATCCGGAATCAACTTACTGATAAAAGGATAATGAGAATGCAAGCTAGTCCAGTGAGCAACCTATTACCATCCCTCTTAACATGTGACCAAACAATATTCAAATTCTTAGATAGATCTTTAATTTTCTTTAGTTACAGAAGAATGCTCCAATGAACAATGTTGAACCTGCAACACCTCCAAAGAATAAGAGAATCTACTTCAAAAACAAGATTAGTCCATCCCAATTTCCTGGCAACCCAAAGACTAAATACTATAGTATCGGCTTCCGCCGCTAAAGCACAGAAACAGGAACAACTTGGGCTGCAATCCAGCAAATAATAGATCCTACAAAGTCACAACATATACCACCAACACTAGCAGAATCAACCTTCCAACATCCATCTGTATTAATCTTAATAAAAGACGCAGAAGGCTTACTCCAAACCACTCGAGAGTAAATTCATATTCTGAAAAAGAGCAGTAATTCAAGAATTGAACATGCCTTTATCCCTTTGAAAGACAAACTATTTTTAGATAATTAAGAATCATATCCACAATATTCATACTATTAGGCAACACATCATTATATTTTGCGTTGTTCCTGGTAAAGCATATAAACCATAGGACAACCGAAGGCACATTGTGGAAAAAAGCATTAACTATTATTCTCCAAACATAAAAAATAGCAGAGATAGAGTTATAAGTATTCAAAGTTCCAGGAATATGAAGTTCATAAGAAATCTGTTCCAGATTTCAATTGCGAACTTACAGCCACCAAAAAGATGAATAATATTTTCCTCATGAGCTTTACAAAGCAAGCAACAAGAAGGGATCCGCAAGCCTCTAAGTTTAAGAATATCATCCGTGGGAATGATATTATGGACAGCTCGCCAAATGAAGAATAATATAGGAGGTTTTAACCAAGGGTTCCAAATCCACTTAAAATTCAACCCCTGAAAGATTTGAAAAAATAGCAAAAATTTTAGAGCAAGAATTACCCGGCTTTCCTTTAATAGTAGAAACATCCTGTTTATCAATGGATATGGGAATAAAAGCAATGAAATTCACATCATTTATATTAAGCATTTGAAGCAACATATCCTCCAACAATTCTCCTGCTAGAAATCATTAACGCGTATGTTAACATCAATCGGACGATCATAATGATCCACAAGAGCACCATCACCCATACAATCATCAAACCAAAAGGAATAATTTCCTTTGCCAAGATCCCAACAAAGATGATTTTCAGTATGCTTAGCCACTTTCAAAATTTCTTTCCAAACATAAGAATCTTTTTTAGAATGAGAGATAGCTAGAGGATGCTTATTGAACAGTACTCAACATGCATCAAAGAGGCCCAAAGAGAACTATTCTTACGAAATCTGTACCACAACTTCATATAATTGATCTTAATAGAATTATAAAAGCTTATAAAACCCAGACCACCTTTATCCTTTATCCAAAAGTGTACAAAGTTTTCTCCGATCTTTCTAATGAATATTAGTTTTACCATTGCCTTCTCAAAGAAATTTATTGAAGAGCATTTCAATTCTTTTAATGAAACCCAAAGGAAAATTCATAACTTCTAAAAAATAAAGAGGAAGAGAGGTAAGAATTCTCTTAAAACGAGCCACTCTCCTCCCAAAGGAGAGAAATTTATTCTCCCAAGAAAGAATTCTGTCCTTGACTTTATCAAACAAGCTTAAACAGTTAGCATTCCGCTTATAGCCTTTATCCAGTGTGAAACTCATGTAAGTCCTCTGTCTCTAGTTCTTCCCCCGTCTCTAGTTCGTGGAAGGGTGCCAACTAACAAATTGGTATGGTGCGTACCATTACCCGAAGTAACCAAAGTATCATCCATCAGATTTATGAGCTCAAGCATGTCTCCATTCTTCTTCTTCCTCCTGGATGTATAGAACTGCCATTCCTCATCCGAGGATTGACTCAATTGATCAATGGATTGGTCCAAATGTGCCTGGACAGCTGTAGGACGTTGCACGTCTTGATCTCCCTGAGTCTGAGTAGCATTGGCATCTTTCTGGACCTGATGAGGCGGTAGTGAAACAACAGAGGTATTTTCACCTGTAATATTAGTGATAGGTTCTAGGGCAGACGGTGTTTGAAGAATCTCCCTCGACTCCATGATAGGAAATTTCGAAGATGGGGGAGCTACAACAATGTGTGGAGACTGAATGATTGATATATTGCTTTGCGGGAATAGTAACATCTTCAGGTGTATTCTTTTGATGATCGATAGTGTCAATAACTTGGAGCTGATCAAGAGGAATTTGAATCACTGCCTCTAGCGGAACACTTTATTTTTTTGTCTGAGGTGGGGATGTAGATGATGACATATGTAAATGATGATATTGAGAACTGGAGTGACCAAACATACGACAATTCGAACAATACGAAGGAAAAAACTCAATCTCTATCTTCTGCCAATATTCATGATGCTGTGTGCCCAACCATATTTTCTCAAAAGTGGAAGCAATAATGTCTCTTTCAACAAGTACTGTGACTTCAATTGGACGAGAAAAATTAAAAGTAGGAATATCCTTCTTGTGTGGCTTAACATAAGCTGAAGCAATATAATACAACACATTTTGAGAAAAATAATGAAATTTTAGACCAGGAAGGCGAATCCAAACTGGAATGATTGGCGGTTCCGTCTGTGGGTTAAAATCCACAGACCATTTCTGAATCTTCATTGCTCTGTTATCAATCCAGAATATTTTTTAAGCAAATAAGCATGTGTAATCCTCTTTATTATTAATTTGAATAAGA